ATTTAAAATACTAATAGAAATAAACTACAAAATAAAATTCAAATTATACATAAAACCAACTGAAGCACTCCAAGCAAGAACAATATTATTTTGACTAGCACAAATGCGTAAAAAGTCAAAGCAGGAATGGATAACTCTAATGTTTAAAAGACAATGGGTGTTTTATTAAGTGTTAAATTCCAGTATCACATTCTTCCAGAAGTCTTGGATTGCTTAATATCTTTGGTTAAAATAGGGGTGATTTACTAGAGTTTTATGGAGCAAAATAAGGGCAAATGTGGTGTAAATAGGTTTACCATTTTATAGTTTTAACTGTATAGCTGGCTAAAAACTGCAAATGCACACATTTATCTTCATTGATCTCATAGATCAAAAATGGCGATCAGGGGTTTTAAAAAGACCTCATGAACTATATTCTGCCAGTCATTGATTTGGAAACCAAACCAACCAACCAAATCGAAGTTAAAGAGACCATATCACTTGGTTCCCTCATACCCAAATCTTCTGGGTATGAGGTAGCATGTGGCATGGTGCCCAGACCTAGCAACCAATTGCCACGTCTAAACACTGTCATTTGACTGAGGGTGTGATATTACTGGTCCCCTGGGTCAGCGACACTTCTGTTTTGAGTGCCGAAGTAGGTATCAGTTATATGGGGGTTGGGAGATGCTCTTTGCAGACACACTGTCACTTTACCCTGCATGGAAAAGGTAACGGTGTGTTTTAAAGCAGCAAAGTGTACCAATTGCCGGTTGTTGATGACATTCAATCAGATTTAATGGATTAGTTTACCTTTCATAATATGTTACACCCATATGCAGAATGTAAAATGTAACATGTTATGATCAGGCTATCCCCTGCTCCCCCACTTTGATAGCAAGTGGGGGATCGTCTCCCCCTCAATAGCTGTCAAATTTTATAAAAAGTGCCCATGCGGGGCTCCGACCGCATCACTCATTCACTGAACTCTGTGAAAGAGAAGCTAGTAGTCCTGTCAGTCTAGCGGGTGTCGGCTTCTATTTCTCAATGAACTACCACGGTGCTGTGGGGTGCCGTGGTAGTTAATTGAGTCTTTTTGTCAGTATATCTGCTTTCCCATACATCCTGTACAGGCAAGCAGATCTACTGACAGATCTTCAGGAGAGCTGTGCATGGTACCAGCGATCTGCTGATTGCTGGTGCAAATGCTTTACAGGCTCCTGCAACAAAAAACAATAAATGCACATGTTTTTTACCTGCAAAAAAATGTGCATTTATTATTTTTTGTATAAAGGTGAACTTATCCTTTAAACTTTCAATAGTTTAGAGAAAAAAAACTGGGTATATGATTGATTGTCCAGCAGTACAGCATTTAGCGTAATGACCAGTTCATGCAATATGGTCCTCCTTACTGAAATTGTAGTTGTGAGTTTGTGCACATTATTACTATCAAGGTCCCTGCATTGACTTTTAGGAAAGTCGGTGGTAAATTTTCAGGGTATTACAAAATGCCTGGACACCTAGCCTTGATATATACACATTTGGAAAAGCTTAAAAATCTATTTTGTTTCAAAAACAGATGTCTACTCCTACTGAATATGGAAACTTTAAAAGCCAATGGTGCAGGACTTTTACAATAATTGCTACAGATAAGATCCCCAAAAATCCAGTGTTTAACCATACATATATCTATTTTCCACTTATTTGGCCCAAACAAATTTAGTAAATTACCCCCATTGATAATGCCTCAGCTGCACAGCCAGTGTTCAATACTGTCACAGATACAAAAATTCTATGGAATCTTCTGTCAAATCCATCCTGGGTAAATTAAAAAAAATACTGTGAAGTTGATGACATCACAGCACATGGCACACTCAGAACAAATGAAGTACTCTGCGTTTAGGCAACAGCCTTTATTCATGTACAAGTGGCTTATTAATAAAAAAAAATGGAAATAATACATATAATTTAAGTTCCTGAAAGAAACACATGGGAAGAACAACACACATCAGTATTGTTAAATTTATGTTAGAGGAGGGAAATAAAAGGCAAACAAAACACATACAGTTATCTGAAAGTGATTTTTCTTTCTAAGAGGAAGATTAGGTTTTATACCTCCATTGTACAGTTTACAGTTATTTATGATTGTAGATCTTTGCAATGTTTTCTAAGTCTTGTATACTCTGTGGTGTTTCCTTTGAAAGTGTAAATGAAGGGCTTAAAATCAAATTGCTATTGCCACTGCGCTTATTTTCAATAAAAGAATGTTGCCTTGTTTATCTTCATTGTTATATATAGCACAAGTCTAAATGGTAACTGTTAATACCACCTGAGGCTCTGCCCCAAAAATGCCTTAAATACAAAGGGATTTCAATAAAAGCAAAACAATAAAATAGCATTGCCAGCACAACAGCTGGCAAGGTACAATTCAGTAAGTTAAAAAATTTCACTTTACAGAAAGTGACTTCATCACAAAATTGTGCTTTCAATTACTAAACCGGATCTCCTTAGAGGTAGGCAAACTTAAGCTCTTCAGCGGAAATACATATCCTAGCCCGCCACTGGCTTGCAGGACGTGCTAGGACTTGCAGTTCAATGACAGCTAGAGCATCACAGGTTGCCTTGAGATTTCTTCTCATTCTTTGAGTTTTTGTTTTCAGTTACAAAAACTGAGGGCAGACTGTCAACCATTTTATCATTCATCTGTCTGGACGCCCCTGTGAAATCTTATGTACTACACTAAGCTCTGCTACAATTGCACTTACATTTTCTGCTGGTTACATGACTAACAATATTTTGCACTGTCATTAAAATGACAAACTTCTTCAACTACGGTTTGCTGTATGTGTTGCTGAGTTGCTAGGTAAACTTCAAATATGGCTATATATCTTGTAGTTTTTTTTTTTTTTTTTACAATTCCCTAGAAAGAATCCTTCAAGAAGGCAAGTTACTGCTAACAATACTCGTAAACTCGGTTACATTTGCATATCATGGACACATCAAAATGTTAAAAAGGTTTATCACATGGAACATGGTTTCATAGTTATTGTTATTGAAATGTTCGTAAAGCTGGCCATATACAGGAGTTTTAGTCATTTTCTGTCAAATCATCCAAATATCCATTGAATGTTTTTTTTCCCACTTAATGATCACATCCCCTATTCACTATACAGTATATTATACAATCATCCCATGTGTAGTGATCCCTAGAAACTTTGCCATGGCATCACACCAAAGTACAATGAAAGTTGGGAGGATGGGGTGCAGCCTTTTCCAAATGCAAAAGGCTGTAACCTCTACCCTGAATCTAAGGACTCTAAATTTTATTCCTGTGAATTAGGACACTTTTTATGATCTCCCCCCAACCACCTATGCTGAGTGGAAGCTATTGGAAGCCTCACTAGTCACATATAAAATACAGCTCACCACTGATTCTAATAAGAAAAGCAATACTGGGGGGGTCACACTGCTTTAGAATCTCCACACTGAATGCACATACTGTTGTGACCCCAAGATGGCAGTAACTAGTGTTAGATATTTAATGAAGTAGAACCTGTTGAGTTTGCTTTTCTGCGCTACCTCTAGATTGCTTGATATAATTACTCTTGAGACGAAGACTATCCTAATATCAAAATTGTTTTAATTGTTCATACTTTTCTCTCTATATATGGTCAGCTTACTCTTGGTTCCTTTAATTGATACATTCCAACCAATGTCATACAAAATAAATGCCCTTCATGTAGTTATGTACAGTGGATGTCAGCTCACCCAAGTGGATGCAAATGTAGGGTTAAGTAAAAAAAAAATAACTTAACCTTGATGGTTATCCTTGGGATATCACTAACCTTGATCTCAAAATGAATGCAGTTTAACAAAACAGCTACCCACATACAGTTTGCAGCAGCACAAGAAAGAATTGTTCCCTCCCCACTATGAACGATAAAACCCTGCTAGTTCAATGTTTATTTTATATTAGAATGCTGTACACAAGCTTGTTAATTTTCACAGATTGTTCTTAAAGAGTCTGAATAATATCTTATATAATTAAAAATACACATTTAAAAAAAAAAAAAGACTTTTACAAAGAGAAAACAGTTATTTCAATTAGCAAAAGCATGGAGTTCTTCATGGACCGGGGCAATATTTTTTTATATTTTATTTTATACAAAAAAAAACTTGTACTTATTTTATTATTCAAGGACTTTAAAATATTAGCCAAGCTATCAAGGAAAAAAACACATTTTGGCTTAAATTACCTACAAAAAGCCACAAATGTTTGCAAACTTCATTTAACTTTTTATATGAAAATAAGCAAAAATGTAATGTACATAATTTATATCTTTTATATATTAAGTGATGTATACCCAGAAAAGAACAACTAAAATATGTAAACTGCCAAAAACACTGAGAAGTATGACCCTATTTTTGTTCAGATAAGTGCCATTTTTTTATTTTTTATGTATTTCTGTGTGTTTTCATAGTTTACATTGGTAAGGTGGCCCAGCTGATCAACATTTTTCCATAGCCACCCGCTGCTGGGTTTGTCCAAAACTTCTGTACATTTGACCATATGTTGCATGACAGCTGCTTTCTCTTCTAGAAAAAATTTGCCAGTTCTGGCAAAAGTTTCCTTTTTTTTTTTGTCTATTTACATGTAAATAACGTTGAACCTGCAACATAACACTATCTATTGTAACATACATTTTGCAAAGGGAGCACAACAGTGAAAAAAGAAGTTAGCTTCAAAACCTATTTTGTACAAGTTTTCTGTTGATAGCTTAAGTGCTAAGCTTGTTCTTTCAGCAGTTCACTTTTCACTTTACCCCTAGACTGAATCACTGAGGCATTTAAAAGTACTTTTACAAAACAGAGTACCTGACTTTATTTTTTTTTTTTTATTTCCCCACACACGGCACATATAAAGTATATCGACCCACCCACCCTGCCCCATTCCCATTAAGGTATAGCACACACACACTGCAAAAAAAAAAAAAAAAAAAACCTAATATATAATGATAGTATCATGTTGCCCATCCTTCAGAGAGCCGCATGCGCTTGACTGAGGGACTTTCTCTTTCGTCCGGCGAAGGTCTGGTGAGTCCAATGGGGGAGTGAAAGTCGTTTTCGGTGGTCTTCCCGGTCACTTCCATCGTACGAACTGCTACAGCTGCTCAGGCTGTCAACAGGAGATCTCCCAGGCTCGTGGCGCGTGTGTTGAGGATATCCCGAAGGTGTTGTACGGTCTCTAGGAGGAGAAACAGGTTCTGACTTGATGTGGAGGCTTTGAGTAGAAGGCAGGGAGAGATTTGTACTCTGAGATAAGTGAGTGCTAGTGCAAGCTCTGTAGGAGGAAAGGAAACGCAGTTACAGAATGAGGAGGCTTAAACCGCCTCTAAACTCACTAACACTCACAAAACAGACACTTTAAGCAGCAAGACCAAACATTTGTCATTTCTTTTTAATAGATTTACACCAATGGAGCTTAATTAAAGTCTTCTTTAATGACACTGTTCTCCAGGTCACCTCTCCCTTCACTAATCACCGACTATTAGTAGATTTAAAATGTACCAAAAAAAAGGTTGGGGTTTTTACTTACCTCACCCTTTAGTCAGCCAAATAGATACTGGGGAATATTGCGCAACCAAAATCTTGCAAGAAGATAGTTTTGCAATAGACTGAAGCGACTTTTGTGCAAGAGTTCACTCTATATTCCCCAAGAATCTTCCCAGAAGGATAGCAATGGCATGCCCAGCAATGGGGAAATTAGGGTGTAAGGTAAGTATAAATCAACTTTTTTCAGGGAACCTTTACACCTGTTAACAGTAGGTGATTTGTAAAGGGGGATGGATCTGGGGCAATCTGACAGTAACCAATCAGATCTTAGTTTTCCCAGGAGTTAGGAAGAATGTAAGATGAATTGACTGGTTGCAATATCTTACTGCAGTTTTCATACTGTTATTTGCTGTGGTAGATGATATGTCTTTGGAACAGTTATACTAAAACAGTGCCATATAAGCTGATGATAGTAATAATTAGGGAAGGACTTAGCTGGCAGGACATCACTAATAAGATATGTTAGTCTGGTGGCTCTGGGTGGAGATACTTCACTATTCTTTACCATCAGAATAAGAGTGTGACCTGCAATCAAAGACACTTGCTGGATATTATAGGGCTGCCCACTTCCTCATTCAAACCATGCTCTTTTATTAAAATATTTGCCAATTATTGGACCAGCAAGAAGCTTTTTTAAAATGGAACTAAAGTCTGTTATTAAAAATATGTGAGCAGGCAGGCTCTCCTGCACATGCCCACTGATCAAGATGGCTGAAGACCAGCATCTGGAAGAAGCCAGGAAGAAGATGCCATCTCTAGCAAGAAACTTTGTGGGCTTTGGATAGCTGATGCACAGATAAGTAGAACAGTTTACTTCTGCTTTAAGCCTAAATTCCTACTTTAAAATAAAATCCCCCTTTCTTCTAACACTAACTATGTTATAAAGAACATGACATTTTCAGGGTGAATGGCAAAATAATCTAAGCAAGCCATATGTGTCTAGATCCACCTACATTTTACAATTATGGTCCTATATTATCGAAATTTGAGAGTAAGCTTGCACCTCTAGCAGTTGAAAGGAGCATTGGGGAGTGGAAGGACGAAAAAAATATATGCTATTGGGGAGGGCTGCATTGGTAAGCCACAGGTTCACTTTACATATATGCAAAAGATAAGGCTGTCTTAGACTAAAGCGCTATATAATTTGTAGATGAATAAGGTGACTTCCATTGGTGTTCAATTATCAAAGTGTAAAAGATCTAGAAGAGGGATGAATGTATTCATTGCACTGTTCAGGTTAACCAGAATTCCAGCTCAGATGCTGAATGAATGTTTGAGTGTTTAAAAACCAGCATAGCAAGCATCCTGTAAAGATCTGAAAGCGTGGAACTATCACTGCCACTGGCAGAACTACTGCTATCGCAGTAGCAATCTGCTGAGCTTTTACTGCATCTGCAGATCCACACTGATGTGAATGTGGGTATACTTTAACTACAGAGGAACCCACCACTCCTCACCCCTGTGGCTGAACTGTCACTGAATCTTACTCATATGTGGACCAGTATAGAGCATGGTAAGCCTCAGCCTGAGCGGCAGCCCCCCCACGTACACTGTTGCATTGCATTAGTGAATGTGAAATTATATTGAAATTATATAGCACTTTAGTCTAAGACAGCCTTATCTGTTGCATATATGTAAAGTGAACCTGTGCCTTACCAATGCAGCCCTCCCCAATAGCATATATTTTTCGTCCTTGTACTCCCCAACGCTCCTTTCAGCTGCTAGAGGTGAAGGAAAGTCCTGTGCAAGCTTACTCTCAAATTTAGATAATATAGGACCATAATTGTAAAATGTAGGTGGATCTAGACACATATGGCCTGCTCAGATTATTTTGCCATTCACCCGGAAAATGTCATGTTCTTTATAACACAGTTAGTGTTAGAAGCAAGGGGGATTTTTTTTTTAAAGTAGGAATTTAGGCTTAAAGCAGAAGTAAACTGTGCTACTTACCTGTGCATCAGCGATTCAATGCCCACAAGGTTTCTTGCCAGTGATGGCATCTACTTCCTGGCTTCTTCTGGGTGCCAGTCTTCAGCCATCTTGATCAGTGGGCATGTGCAGGACAGCCTGACTGCTCACAGCTTTTTAATAACAGACTTTAGTTCCATTTTAAAAAAGCTTCTTGCTGGTCCAATAATTGGCAAATATGTTTAATAAAAGAGCATGGTCTACATGAGGAAGTGGGGTAGCCCTATATGATAAGGTGAACCATTCATTTTGGGCTGCCTATTGCATCAAAAATTAAGGATGGTAAAACTTTTTTTGTAATGCAGTGCCTAGTAGTACATTACTGTTCATTGTGGTGTGCTGCAACACACATCTGTTGTAAAAGGTGTGTTGGGATGCCATTGAAAATCACACTAACGTGTGGTTACCACAGTGCAAAAGTGTGGACAGGCCCTTAGGTAATAAAATAATTCTGCTGGTACACTCTGTATGCCATACTGTATGTTCAACATTCCTCACTGTCTCATTCCATATGCAAAGCTGTATGTTCATTATTCCACACAGATTCAGTGTGTAGCCACGCTGCATTCTGCATTGGATCATTCCATAAGCATGTTATATGGTTCCAATTTTTGCACTGGTTCATTTTGTATGCCATAGTGTATGTTTCCAATTCTATACCTCCTCATCCTGTAAGCTCCCTATTCTACAATGGCTCATTGCAAATATCATGCTATAAATCACTATTTAGCACCACTTTATCCCATATGCCATGTGGTATGTTCCCTACTCTGCAATGCCTCATTTCATATACCATTTCCTTATCAAGGCTTTGTTAGTTGTCTTTTAAAAAAATGTGCACTTATCCTTCTTCTCTAGCTCCCTGGCTGAAAAAGACCCTTCCCCTCCAAAAATCTGCAATTATTGCAATATGACCTTTGTTAGCTTGCATGGCAGTTATGGTGTTGGGGGGGGGGGGTGCTTTAAAATATTTGATATGGGGACCTGTGCTTTCTAGTTATGCTCCTGAATACAGCTTTAACTGGAGTCTGTAGAAGTGGTCACCAGATAGAATCTTTAAGGTTTTTATTGGAATGTCCGTATTGGGGAGTTCTCCTTTCTTTGCCTGTTCCAGTGACCATGAGTCATAAGGTCAGGAAGCGATGGGAAATCTCCCTAATAGGGACACAATGCATATATGTATAATTCTGACAGAAGTTACATAGACATATGTATAATTCTGACAGAAGTTTCAATCCATCACCCCATTATGATAAATAATTTTTTTCTGGATTTCCACTTTAAGTACTTAAAAAATATTTATATCCTATGTATACTGATTTATTCAATAAGGCCACATACAGTAACCCTTAACCAACTAGAAATAAAATGCCACTAATATCACTTAAAAAATTTTAAATCTGAATGAATTACTGGGTTACTATTCTCGTCATATCATCATTACCACTTTATTGAATAGAAAGGACAGGTAATATAATAGCTTCTTAGCATATTTAGCACTTTAGCATTAGTAACTGTCCTTGGGTATAAAAAAAGTTTAACTAGTGACAAGCACACAGCAGGTATTCCAGTTTTAAGCTATGTTTGGTCAGCTGCTTAAAATGTCATGTCAAGTTTTTACCTTTGATTACATTTGGGGATAGAAAGCATATGGGATGTAACTGGTAAGCACAGAGCTATTTGTTTGAATAATTAGACAACCTAAAATACAATTTGCATGAAAGAGCTACAAATACCATTAACAAATGTGCAGGTAAAAAATGTTATATTTAAGGAAAAATGTCATACAAAATAAATAACGATCACAAACCAGTGTTTGAAGACCAAGGATTACACAGGATGATAGGGAATAATTATCTAAGAATCCTCTTTTGAGATTGAGTGCATATGTATATATATATATATATATATATATATATATATATATATATATACTCATTCTGTATGTTAGGGTTATGATTAACAATTAGTTTAAATGCAAAGAGGGAGCTTAGTGGAGTTTCTCTTTAATTACATACACAAAATACATAATAACCTCAAGCATTCATAATGAATACTCCTAAAGTTGTGGCTGTTAATATTAGCTATGCTGCCTGATTTCACTGATTGAACAGCAGCTCAGGCTAATACAAAATAATCTTGCTTATTCCAATAATTTGTCTAAAAGTGCCCCCTGCTGGCAGATTCTGCAATGTGCACAGAACATGTATTATATTTTACAAAATAATAATCTTCACCCTTGTTTAAATCTTAGATGCTCATTTACATGCATGAAAATGATGTTTATGTAAAATAATGTTGAATGCAACTAGGTAATTTAAATTCAATGGGGTGAGTTACCCCTCTAATTGTTCTGGTGACCATTGTCAACAAAAAAAAGTAGGAAATCCAACATTTTAGAGTTGTCCCCAGCACAAGAGGCAAAAGGAAATCTTCAAGTGCGGACACTCGTTCTGGAGACAATTGTCTAAAATGGGAATAACCCTTACTTTAGAAGAGAGATGTACTGTGTAAGTTGTGTACACCTTATTAGTTTATGTCATCAGCCCATGCACGTATGGGAAGGAAAAAACAAGTAAAAGGTACCTAAAATGTTCCACTCTTGCCCTGTTCACTGCACTGTGCATATATAGGGAGGGGCGGTACAATTTTAGGGAAAAGTATTTATAGTTTTAGTTCCTTTAGGATGCTTATAAGTGCAGTCCTATTGATTTCATGAATAAACATTTTCTGGCCAGGTTTCATTGCCCATTTAATTGTTTTCTTTCTAGAAAAAAAGCCATTCACAAGGGTCTTTGCTCAGGCCATAAACATGTTTATCTGGTATTACACTGCATATTTTTTCTGCTATTATGCTAAAGAGTGATAGTCTACAGTAGTGACTGGATCTTGCAAATGCCAGCTCTTGTGCGCAGGTTCTTTACCCGTCAGGGGATTTATTTTAAATTAGGTTTTAATAACTTCTCACAATGTTATTTTCTACATATACTGATGATTTTTCTTTTTTAGCTAGAACATAAAAGACTACAACAATAATATTAAGTGAAACTTTATTATTTTGGATTAATTTTGTAAAACCATTTTTGTATGAAGAGCGGGAGCTTGTGATGGAAAAGCAACTATGCTATTTCTGTATGAAAAGTAAGTCAATGTTTATTTTCCTTATATAGTCATACATTGGAATTACAGCTAAAACAAAATGACTTTGCAGTGGACCTATCTGTAATTAGTTGCAACAAACAAGCGCTTTGGAAAATATATGTTCCGGATACCTGCATTTTGTGACAATAACTTTAAATTATCAAGACCCTAAGTATCCATGGTAAGATAATTACTGGAAGATATCAAAATGCTGGCCAGAAGGATTACAAAAAGAACAGCAAATTGAAAACCATATGTTATTAAATACTTATTGTCTTTGTCTACCATGTAATTATAAACCACTTTAGAGCTCTACTTGTGTGCTGTTCTTCCAGAATAGATGTTGCTCTACGTAAAACTGATTTGACATGCTTACTCTGGTTAAGGTATATGTAGACTACATGTGTTTTCCCTTCCTACCAGTAGTAGGAGCTCTGACATGAAATATTAACTTATATGGGCATAAGTAGCTATATAAAAAAACAATACATCATATCTACATACACATGTAATCATTCTGTCCTATGGCGTATGTTGAAATGCGTATTATTATATAGAACACTGTAGCATTTTTATGTGGCCGAGTGCAAACTATTTTTAAGTCTGTTAAAATGTAAGTGTTATCAAGGTGTTTATCATGAGAAAAATATGAAGTTTGACATTATTGACTGGTACTTCAAGACAACAAAAAACCACATTCATAGATAGGTATGAAAAAGTTTCCATTTTTGTCTCATTTGTACTTAAAGTGATCCTGTGCTCAGAATGTGCACACTAAATATTTACATATTCTGAACAAGTAGTAAAGTCACTTTAAAAAAAAGCCCACATTTATTTCTGTAAGTATGGGCATTGTGGAATAATTTCACAACAGAGGCACAGAAATCTTAGCTCATTGGTTATTACTTTCTAATGCTTCGGAATGTTGGCAGTCTGCCAGCCATCTAACATAAACACACAGCAGATGATTCTGTGTTGGTAAAAACCAAGTTAAACCCAACTTCAGATTCTTTGTTGTGATCTTTGATGATCTCTGAGAATGAATTACTTCAAAATACAAACAGCTACTGAGGTAAGGGATAGTTTTTTTAAGCTTTTTTGCTGTTTGTTAAGAATATGTAATGATGTTCAATGTCCATGATCTTGGCACAGGTGTACTTTAAATGAGAGTTAACAGTTTTTCAACAGGATGCACACTAAAGTGACAAATATCAATTATATCACTTTCTGTATAGGTAATCCTATACAGAAACTAATGTTTGAATGATATTAGTAGCTCTTTCACAAAAAGTAACATTTTAGGTTTAATGGTCCTACCAAAATGTACTGTAAATCAGTAAATGTACAAACATGGAAAATTATGTTTTATTACACTCCACTAAATTATTTATAGCACTTGTGAAGTGTGTCAAAATGCAAAGGCAAACCAAGGGGGTTCTTACTAGGAATTGCACTATACCGATATAGTAGGCTCTAAATGAACTAAGTCATTAATGAAACATATGCTTTTCTGAGTCCAAAAATAAGGGACGTTATAAAGGAAACATGCACTTTGTAGGATCCACTGTTGTTATGTTAACATCTGACATTGTGCACAGTCTAATGTTACATCATATTGTACCTAGGGACATAGCTTACCCCAACTGGCTGAGAGCGGATGGGGGCATGTTATGCAGATGGTGTTGTTGCCAGCCAGTAACTGAGCCAAGGTGAAGGGCGCTGCTATTAAACCCAGAGAGAGATGACAGGTCTGCACTGCTTAGGGAGTATTCTATAATAGAAATGTACAAACAAGTATTCCAGTTAGTGATTCAGCAAAATGCATACATGTTCTATGTGGTCTAAGGGATTTTAGGAATCATGAAGACTGAATTCAGCTTAAACATACATCAGCATAAAAAGATCTCCATACTGTTCTTCTTTGATTCAAAATTTGGACAATAGGCTCAATCCACAAAGCTTTAACACCAAGGTAATGAAATTTGTTTTTTGAGTGACCATTTTTGTAACTGTATTGAACTTTTTGGGCTGTAAATAAATGCCACTAAAAAAAATAAGACTTCTTATATATTCTCACATAATAGTTATGTGAATTGAGCCTAATGTGCCCTAGTTAAAGCCAATCTCTGGCCAAAGGGGTGAAGAGACAGCAATAAAAACTTGATACGGGGGGAGGTGATTTACTAAAGGCAAAAAGACTATGCACTCTTCAAGTGCAGTTGCTCCGGAGCTTAATAAATTAAATAAAGCTTCACTTTAAAAAGATTAAACAATCACAAGGAAACAAACAAAAAACAGCATTTCTGCTTGCACATGATTGGATTAAGAAGTCATCAGATTTTCTGCTCATTTATTAAACTTTGGAGCAACTGCACTTGCAAAGTGCATGGTCTAATTGCCCTTAGTAAATCAACTCCATAGTGTATCCTACTCCATGCCAAAACATTTTTTCTTTTTTAGTTTTGAATAGACTTGGTCAAAGTAAATACTTTTGGCAAATTTTTATTGCTGTCCTTGATCCCACTGGGGAGATTTCACCTTAGGACAAGTGACAAAGGAAATGGACACCAACTGGGCAAAAAGTCACAGACAGTGATAGTAACCTGACATAAGTTCTAACTATTCCCCATTTTACCAAAATAAATAGGTTTTGTTACATTCCATGTCCCCACTGGAAAGATTTCCTATTACCCCCTGTTATGACAGGAAAAAAGGGAACATTTCATCATTGTGGACGCAGACCACAATAAAAAACCTGACATTGGGGTTCTTAGCACTACTCCCCCCCCCCCCACCACTAAAAAAGCACTTTGTTGGAATTCAGCTTTATTTTTTTTTGTCTGGAGCTCAGAGTTAAACATACTGTGAATTTGCACAGTTATTTTCATGGTCAGACAAAATCAACCCCCTGATGGAATTAAACGGCTTCACATATCAAGCATATTCACCATAGTCACATGACAATCTGACAGATGAAGACACACAGTGAAAACTTCCCTGCTGATTCCTTTATATTTACTTCCAATAAAAATAAAATATAAAAAAAGCAATTATGCTTTCTATTGGAAGAAAATTATTTTCAGTGGGTTTGAACACTGCTGCATGAATTTGCCTCTCTAATGAAAAGGCCATCTTTTATTTTGTGCAGATAATTATTTTTGTTTTTTATACATATATATATATATAATGTTACAGCCCTCACATTCACTGAGATATATTTAAGTTCCACAAAAAAGAAATACTGTATATTTTGTTTCATGACTAAAAATCAAACTAAACGGGATTAGTTCTACTGTATAAAGATCAATAATGCAACGATAAAGACAGCAGATCCCGAAGGGGGAGGGGCTGTCGTACATTTAAGTTGAGCCATCTGGATAAAACTGAACTTGTTAGAAGAAGCCCAACTGAATGGCAGATTCTCCTTTAGTTTATATTTTAACTCTTTAATATCAAATAGTTTAGAAGGAAAGAAGAAGACAGCAACTGCAAAGGGGCATGTTGTTTAGTGAGTGTACTGTATATACCTGCTTCTAAATTGAGAAGAGGTAATTAAGGTTAGGATATGATCCCCATATATAATTACATAAATGGTCTGTATAGTGAACTTGGTGCAGGGTTATTCACTTAAAGTGGTTCATTAAAGTGGTTCTAAAGGCTTAAGGATTTTTACCTTAATGCAGAGAATGCAGAAAACCCTTCCATGCTACAGAACCCCCCTGCCCCCCTTATACTTACCTGAATCTGATCTCAGAGACTTTCTAGGCTCTCTCCCTTCACTGGCTCCCACTACTGTCACTGACAGCCAATCAGGAGGAAACAGTAGTGGGGCTGAGCCCCGCTCTGCATGTCAATGGACACACAGAACTCAGCTCTGGAATGAACCCTCTTAAGTACCTCCTTAGCAAGATGCTTGCTATGGGGGCACACAGCAAGGGGGGGAGGAGCCAGGAGCTCCGGTGGGGGGCCCAAGAAGAAGGGATCGGGGCTGTTCTGTGCAAAACCATTGCACAGAGCAGGTAAGTACTGTAGAACATGTTTGTTATTTCTAAACAAAAAAAAAACAATTAAGGTTCACAATCACTTAAAAAAAAACAAGCGGCACTCTTCATGTCAGGAAAAAAAGAGATTTCACCTCGACATATGGAAAGGCTTCTTCACAGTAAGAGCTCCAAAATATAAAATATATATATATATATATATATATATATATATAAATGGGTGTAGATTGTTCTCAATAGGTGAGATCACAACCTGGAACTCTAAAATATGTGACTCTAAGTGCAATTCTATGCATAAATCCCTGACTGCAAATTATAAAAGTCCTGTGACTTTGACATTTCCTTTCTTTCAATAGACATGTAGAAAGCATGTATGCCCCCCCCCCCCCCCCCCCCCCCCCCCCCCCCCCCCCTCCTGGCTCTGGAACTTCAATTGCAACCAAAAGGAGCCCAATTACGCTCTATGAACTCAATAAGAGAGCAGAAAATATCACACCAATGACATCAGATCACATCCACTTGTATTCAACCCAGACAGAGCACACTACAACCCTCACCTCAAACTTTCCCGCTATAACATTTCACCCAACAGGATCTTGATCACAGCTTGCAGCTTGTATTCCAGGTATCAGAGGAATATATACTGGATTTAAAAATATTTTTTATTGAAGGAACTGTGACGGTGTAGTAATAAGGGTGACATTAATTACTCAGTTGACTTAGCTATTAATACTTCACCCTGACTGGACTGTTTAGTTATGTGAGCAAAAAACTGAAACACGTTATGGCCACTAGAGGGCTGAATTACTAAAGGCAAATAGACTGTGCACTTTGCAAGTGCAGTTACACTCATGTGCCCCAGAGCTTAGTGAATGTGGAGAAGCTTCACTTTGTAAAGAATACCCAATCAGGTGCAAGGAAAATAAAAAAAACTGCTTTTTTGCTTGCACATGATTGGATGCTGGAAATCAGTAGAGCTTTACCACATTCACTAAGATGAGTGCAACTGCACTTGCAAAGTGCACAGTTTATTTGCCTTTAGGAAATCAACTCCTAGGTATACTACAAACACCCTGAAAAACTTCATTAAAGTACACAGGACGGACCTTCTGCCCTGCTGCTGCCCCCCCCTCACAATTTTTGGCAATTCCCAGCTGTAAAATAACAGAGGGAAGTTGTGTAAATACAGCAGCTGTAATAGTCAAAGTGAGGGGAGATTTAGTAAAGCTGGTGCACTCCAAATCTGGTGCAGAAGTGCATGGTAGCCAATCAGTTTCTAACTTCAGCTTGTTCACTTGATCTTTGACAATAAAACCTGGAAGCTGATTGGTTTCTATGCAGAGTTGCAGCAAATCTTGCACTCTCCAGCATTAGTAAATAAACTCCAGTGTCTATGAGCACTCTTCAGACAAGATAAAGAGATACAAAGTAACATTGATACTTTTGTATCGATTACATTTCATTGATCTGCAGATCATAAGATGAACATCTATCTGCAAAAGGTTAAAGCAATCTGACAATCTAAAAACTTTTTTGTTAAAATAACATTTGTTGCCATCTAACCCCTATTTAACTTATAGTAATCTTCAATCAACTCTGTTTTCCATCCTTAACTATAATTTTCTTGCTTATTTTTTTATAATTTCCATTTCCTAACTATTAATATTTAAACTTTTTTGTCTGTATTCATTTTAATAATTAATTTTTTAGGTGTTGTATTAACCACTTCCAGTCCGGACACTTTTACCCCCTTCCTGTCCAGGCCAATTTTCAGCTTTCAGTGCTATCATACTTTGAATGACAATTGCACGGTCATGCAACACTGTACCCATATGAATTTTTTAGCATTTTTTTTGAGACAGATAAAGCTTTATTTTAGTGGTATTTATTCACCACTGGGATTTTTATTTTTTTTTCCTATGTAAATTAAAAGTATACAAATTTAGAAAAAAGTGTTTTTCTTATAAAATTTTGCAAATAAATAGTATTTCATCATAAATCTTGTCCAAAATGTATTCCATTATATTTTTAGTAAAAAAAAACACCCAAATTAGTTTATAACCAAAAATTATAATTTTTAAACATTTTTTTTTACATTTTTTAATATTATTTTTTATTTATTATTTTTTTTTACATACTGTCACCCTAGCAGTACAGTGTCACCGTGGTGACATTGTACTACTTGTGGGGGGTGATGAAGATTTTTTTTTTTTACACTGATTGCTTTTACACCCATAAAGGATGTAAAAGCAATCATTTCTCCTCTCTAGCTGCATTCTTGCAGCCATTGAGAACTACTGAGTGAGCTGTGATTGGTCACAGCTTGTCACATGGTACAAGGCTGTTGTACCATGTGACCTCTGTGATCATTCACAGATTTCACAAGTAGTAAGCAATGATGTCACAAGTGACATCTTGCTTACTACTCTGCATGTGATCACTGATTGGCCAATCAGTGATCTCATGATCAGGACCTCGTACAGAGGTCCCGTCTGATGATCGGTGTTCCACTGTGTCTGGAGGACACAGCGGGCACTGGATTGCAGTGCTGCGTGCTCCCAGGGAGCGCGCACAAGCACTGTGCGGGGAGGCCATTTATAAACGGCCACCTGGCCCTGCACTGCCACCATCCGGCCGTTTATATACAACGGCCGGACGGAGGTGGTTAAAAATTAAGCCTTTATTTGTAATTTTGTAAATAACTGTGCAGGACATTATACAAACATCATACTTTTAGTGACTATTTTAGGACAAATGATAGAAAAAATATATACTTTTTATCTACTGTAACACTTTTTTTTAATCTATCAATGATCAAAGTAGAAAAAGGAGTGTTTTTTTAGTTTACTGTATGTAATTTTTCCAACACAATATCACCAAAGGAAAGCCTTGTATGCATTACTTTGTTATTATCAAGTAAACAGTTATTGCTGAATCAATAGGCACATCCTAACCACAGCACCACCTGCCTGGAGTTTGCATGTTCTCCCTGTGCCTGTGTGGGTTTACTACTTCGGGTACTCCGTTTCCTCCCACACTCCAAAGACATGCTGGTAGGTTAATTGGATTCTGTCTAAATTGGCCCTAATATGTATGGATGTGAGTTAGGAACCTTAGATTGTACACCCCTTGAGGGTTAGGGACTGATGTGAATGTACAATATATATGTAAAGCACTGCGTAAATTGATGGCACTATATAAGTATCTGAAATAAATAAATAAAATAGCAGAAACTGTCCTGATCCATAGGTAGAAATGTGAAAGCTGAAGTGGCTAAATAATAAATCATCACCAACAGTTTATTCAGATAAAGAAGAAAGTTGTACTGCCCTTTATTTTTTTTTCCAACTGCTTTTCTTTCTTAAAAAAATGCCAGTTAATTTTGCCAGCTTCTTTTTCTTCCTAGTAAGGGGTGACAGCATTATCTATAGCCATGTAAGCAATGCTTTGCCTAGTTAATATCATGCTGTGCCTACATATGGCAAGCTCTACCTGGCTTACAGTCCCCAGCAGGGGCGGACTGACCATTTGGAAACTCGGGGACTGCCTGAGGGCCCGGGGTCAGTAGGAGGTCCCATGAGATGCCCCTGGTACCTTTTTCATAAGCTTTTTTGAGTTTGGGCAAGGACACAGGGGCCCCATGATCCCCTATGCCCAGGGGCCCCATGAGTTGTCAGTCCACCCCTGGTCCCCAGTTCATGATGGCAGCTATAACAGCTTGAGTGACAGCAGCTCCAGCAGGAAGCTTGGCTGTCAAAACATTACAGAGTAGTCCAGCAGCATCACCAGCACATGTGACTTGCTGCAGCTTAGTCTAGCCCACTGCCTGCCTGCGAAGTGTAAGAGCAGCATACTAGTCAGCTGATCATGGGAAAAAAAAAAGCCTAAAAGAGTAATTTATTTGTTTCATTTTTGCTGGGTTTATTCCTAATTATTTGATTATTGTCTGCCCTGTTAGAATACTTCAAGGCATGAAGAAGATTTACAAATAAAAAAAAAAAAAGCCATCTGACAAATGTCACTTTTTTCTCTTCTAGTGCTGCTTACCAGTGCCATATGTTGTTGAAATTGCTGATGGGTATCCTCCCATCCCCTGCCCAGGTAAAGTCGGTGTTGCTACAGGAACCACTGGGGTAGCCAGTGACTGAGCAGACTGTGAGTTGTTTATCCTTTGATTCTATTATGAGAGATAAAAAAAAAGAATAACATGATTATTAATAAGTTTATCAGGTGCATAACGTTTTTTTTTTGTCTCTAGAAAAAAAAAACACTTCAACATGATACAAATTAATCATTTAGCATGTGGCTCCCATGAACTCTTCCAACCCTATCATTTACAATCTTTCAAGAGACCAAGTGTCGCCATGGCAACCCATTACATCAGCTTCTCCTAGGCAATTGAACTTGCCACGAGTAAAGATTGCTTTATTGTGGGTTGCAAACAGACCATGTGGAAAATTGATGAAATATGCATACTGTACTATCATTGTTTCTTTATCATTCAAATGCAAAAATGTCATTAAAATTACCAGTGACTGGGCTAGGACTTACTGCAAAAAGACACCTTGACAATGGCTTTTCGCTGCAGTTAATAAGATTAGCAGCAGATGGCAGTAAGGATCCTTTTGTTGTCTTTTTTTTTTGTTTTTTTTTTTTTTAGCAAGTCTCAATATTTCACATTATATAAGACAAAAGTTTATACATATTTTAGCAACTGGTCATTGAAATGACAATGCACCTATAACAAAACCTGGTCTGTTTCCAGTTTTTTTAATTTATACTAAGAAGCACTAGCAATACTAACATTAGTAGATGTTCATTCTTCTTAAATATAATCTGATATTGTGTATACTCTCCTTCACAATAACAATGCACAAAATAAAAGCGTAAAACCTTCTTAAACACTTTTTTGCCACTTACCAAAAGGAGATCGACATCCTCAGACTGAGAGCAAGGAAAAGGAGTATTAAGTAACAATTAGTAATGATACATTATTAATAAAGGTGAAATGATAGTTGAAATATAATGTTGCTTGCTGAATTTAACTGCACAGTGATTCTCCAGCACATCCAACAACTCCATGTCACTATACTTTCATTTCATGGGTTTTTTATTAACACAGAAAATATATTACTAACCTCCCTCCCTTCCTGACTCTACCAGGATGCTACAGTGTGACCCCCTAAGGTCAGTAATCTAGTCCCAGTAGACAGCTCATTTTTTTAAGGGCCACAAAATGAATCATTTTGGTGACTTTTTGTTAGGTACAACAGGGGAATTGTTATTGTGAACTGACCAATGTAATTTGTGTTTTATGTTACGTATAGACCAAAAGTTCTATAAAATGTAGTAATATTTAAATCTTCCTGTCTTCTCTATTTTTCTCTCTCTTGAAACAAAACTTCGGCTTTAATATAATTTAAATTAACCAGATTAATTAAAGGAAAAAATACAGCAATACTCACCTTCTCTCATTGTTTGTGTTCTGGGTTGAGTATAATTTAAAGTGGTTCTAAAGGTTGAAGGTTTTTTACCTTCATGCATTCTATGAATGAAGGTAAAATATCTTCAGTGTGCAGCTTCCCCTGCAGTCCCCCCAATACTTACCTGACCCTGATCTCGATACATGAGAGCAGGGGCTCTCTCGGGGTCTCTCTCTGCTCATTGGCTGTGACACAGCAGTGGGAGCCATTGGTTCCCACTACTGTCAGTTACCACCAGTGAGGAATGAGCAGGGGGTGAGACTCATTGACAAACAGAGGCGGCTCGGGAGCGAGCATGCACTAATGCCCTCCAAGCAAGCAGCTTGCTCGGAGGTTAGTCGGCAAGAGGGAGGGGCCAGAAGCACCAGCGGAGGACCCACAAAGAGGAGGATTGGGGCTACTCTGTGCAAAACCATTGCACAGAGCAGAAAAGTATGATTTGTTTATTATTTTAAATAAAAAAGGAGCCTTTAGAAACACTTTAACCTACATTTATTTCCCTTTGTATTTATATACATTATAAAAGCTTATATTTATTTTTTACCATTAGACAAAAATCTTTTTTTTTTACAAAGTAACATTTAATACAGGCTGCCCATGAAAGTAGTGTCATAGGTAGTGTGTGAAAATGTGAGCTGGAACTACTGAACTTTGTTAACAATAAAGTTTTTTTTGTTTCATCAAAGCTGCTAAGTAGGTCAGTCTAGCAGACAAAATGAAGAGAGCAGCAGAGCTTCCCTGTCTGGAGGAAAAGCTAAGTCATGTTTTGTGAAGGGGATCAAATACTTATTTCCCTCATGAACATGCAAATCAGTGCATAATTTGTTAGACATGGATTTCTTTTGAATTTGTTGTAGGTATTCTGCCTCTCAGTGTTACAATACATTTACCATTCAATTTTTAGACTGATCATTTCTTTGTGAGTAGGCAAACATACCTTCAAAACCAGCAGGGGATCAAATACTTATTTCCTTCACTGTATGTATATATATATATATATATATATTATATTGCCAAAAGTATTGGAATACCCCTCCGAATCATTGGATTCAGGTGTTCCAATCACCTCCATTTCCACAGGTGTATAAAATCAAGCACCTAGGCATACAGACTGCTTCTACAAACATTTGTGAAAGAATGGGTCACTCTCAGGAGCTCAGTGAATTCAAGCATGGTACCATGATAGGTTGCCACCTGTGCAATAAGTCCATCCGTGAAATTTCCGTGCTACTAAATATTCCATGGTCAACTGTTAGTGGTATTATAACAAAGTGCAAGCAACTGGGAACAACAGCAACTTAGCCACGAAGTGGTAGGCCACATAAAATGACAGAGCGAGGTCAGCGCATGCTGAAGCACACAGTGCACAGAAGTCACCAACTGTCTGCAGAGTTAAAAAATTAGCACAACAGTGCGTAGAGAGCTTCATGGAATAGGTTTCCATGGCCGAGCAGCTGCATCAAAGCTTTACATCACCAAGGGCAATGCAAAGTGTTGGATGCAGTGGTGTAAAGCACGCCACCACTGGACACTAGAGCAGTGGAGACGTGTTCTCTGGAGTGATGAATCACGCTTCTCTGTCTGGCAATCTGATGTCTGGGTTTGGTGTTTGATGGGACTGATTGGATCTGATGTCTGGGTTTGGCGGTTGCCAGGAGAATGGTACTTGCCTGACTGTTTGTGCCAAGTGTAAAGTTTGGTGGGGGGGGGGATTATGGTGTGGGGTTGTTTTCAGGGGTTGGGCTTGGCCCCTTAGTTCCAGTGAAGGGAACTCTTAAGGTATCAGCATTTTGGACAATTTCATGCTCCCAACTTTGTGGGAACAGTTTGGGGATGGCCTCTTCCTGTGCCAACATGACTGCGCACCAGTGCACAAAGCAAGTCCATAAAGACATGGATGAGCAAGTTTGGGGTTAAGGAACTTGATTGGCCTGCACAAAGTCCTGACCTCAACCTGAAAGAACACCTTTGGGATGAGTTAGAGTGGAGGCTGCAAGCCAGGCCTTCTTGTCCACATCAGTGCCTGACCTCATAAATGGGCTTCTGGAAGAATGGTCAAACATTCCCATAGCCACACTTCTAAACCTTGTGAACAGCCTTCCCAGAAGAGATGAAACTGTTATAGCTGCAAACAATGGGCCAAATCAATATTGAACCCTACGGACTAATACTGGGCTGCTATTAGAATGCATGTGCATGTAAAGGAATGCATTCCAATACTTTTGGCAATATAGTGTACATACAAGGGGTCTTCAAAAATTTTCCACACTTTTTTTTTTAACCCTGGACATACAACAAATTAAAATATATACAAAACAGTATACATTTTCTCATAATTCTCAAAAAGCAAGAGGAATGTATCTATCTATCCATTCAGTTGTATCCGACCCTTGGCGATTGCATGGACATGCACTCGCAAGCGACTTTTTCCATGAATTCTCTTAGCATTTCTTGTACAGGGTAGTTTGCAGGTCTTTCCCCAACCCCTACCATGCAGGAGCTCCCGCATAGCCAGGGATGAAACTAGGACAATTTAGACAGGAGCCAATTAACCTACCAGCATGTCTTTGGAGTGTGGGAGGAAACCGGAGCACCCGGAGGAAACCCACGCAAACACAGGGAGAACATGCTAATTCCATGCAGGAGGTGCCATGGTTGGTAATTGAACCCATGACCCAATTACTGCAAGGCTAACCACTAAGCCACTGTGCCGCCCAAGAGGAATGTAGGAGGTAGTTGTAAAAATTAAGTATACGTTATATGTTATAAACTATGCAAATTATTATTCTAAGAGAAGATCTGTTGCTACAAGCATTTTAAGCTTGTCAAATGTCAATTTTGTTTTCTATTTTTAATTTAGCGTGGACAGGCTGAAACCTCTGCCAGGTGTTTGTTTCAGCCTGGACTGAGAAATAGTTAAAGAACCAGCATAGGAATAGAGGAGAAATCTTCCCAAGAGTACCTTTGTTTCAGAAGGGGGTTTCCCTCACTGAAGAAAATCTCCTTTCATTTCCTGTTGTGTCTACAAACCTGAAAATGATGGAGAATATTCCGAAAGGGACAATAATGACAAAAAAATCAGGTATCTTATCCATACCAAAGTCTATCCAATATAAAAATATTTAAAAAATATTTAGATATACCTTTTTAAAGAATGAAACCAATAATATGTTATACTCATCTGCTCTGTTCTCTATTCTGAGGTCCCCCACCAGCAATCCTGGGCCCTTCTTTTCTGTGTCACCCAAGTAGCAATCTGCTTGCTATTGGGGCAGACGTGGTGGATCGCACCTGAGCTGGGCTGTGTGCATCCATAGACACACACACAGAGGCATGGCCGGGCTCCCCTCTTTTAGCTCAGAAGATTTTAGTGAAAGCAACAGGAGCCAATGGCTCCCACTGCTTTCAGTGTAGTGTAGTGTAGTGAGAGCAGAAAGAGGGGTGAGTAGACCAGCAACCGGGCACAGCGCTGGATCAAGAGGACTTCCTTAGGGAAGGAAGAAACACAGCAAGTGGCAGAATGATTTTTACCTTAATGCAGGGAAAATATTACTGTAAATTAAAAAAAAATAGCTTCAAAACCACTAACTATTTATGCCTTATTGAAGAATACATCATTCAACCTCTTTTAGATTAAAATGTCAAATATTGTGAATGATAGACACAGATATTGGATACTGCTGTTAGTGCTTTTATTTAGCATTATATGGTATATTAGAGTAAATCTAAAGGATATTCTAGGAAAATAACAGTATTGTCTCCAAACAACTTTGAGTTGACTATGCGTGTAAGTAAGGAATAAGCTCTTCCACTGCCAGCATGAGTTCTTTTCAGATCATATTCAGATCTATGATTTGGCATAACTCAATGTCTCACACATACAGCATGATTTTTCTACAACACATGGCACTCAGTATGGCTGAAAACAACACAAAGTTTCAATTCACATACAGCTAACCCTGATTTTTAATCTTTCAGAACAGTTAGTCAAGATGCAATCAAGTGAGACGCACACATAACATAATACACCATTCACTAGATATACTAGGTGGTAAAAATAAAAACAACAGCAACGCTATAATCAAAAGATTGATTAAGAATGATAACTTACCACAGAGGGCATTGTATTCTTGCTGCCAGGTGGAATAAGAACTCTGAGGTCAGGTTTACGATTGTTCATCCCCAAGTTCATTGGCGGTGGTGATTTTGTTTGCATATTTTTATTCAAGTTACCAGGTGAGACCAGCAGACCTGGTGAGTTACGATGATTGCCATACCCATTTCCTGTTAAAACAGAAAAAAAATCATTCTGCCTTAGATACGAATATACAAAGTTGGTCTCATGTTATAATCTCAATGCACGATCAGTGGGCAATGGAATCTATCTCCGTTTGTGTGGGCCCACATAACAACCAATAGAGTTATAACATTGGACATGAAACAGAAATTGAGTAAAATGGACATTTTTAACCTAAGCAAATTGTAATCTGGACATGCATTTCCTTTGCTTAATCCAAACATGTTGAATGGGAGATATTTTCACTTTTCACCATCTGACTTACACTTTGACATCCAGGTTGTAAAATGTTTTGTTATCATACGAATGTTTTCACACAACCTATATTCAGTGTCAGCTCTGTTAAAAATTAATTTGATGGATATCAACATTCTACACTTTATCAGAAAATTTTAATGGGAAAAAACAAATATATCAAATTAGAGGAAAATAAGGAAATGCCCTGACTGTATAATGTATAATTACTTTAAGGAATACCAAGCAGCTAATAAAAAATAATTCCCTGAGATCATTAAAGTAGAACTATTGCCAAAACTGTTTTTTTTTTATTTTGATAGAGTAAGGAAGGGTTATAACCCCTGTCAGTGTTTTTTTCTAAGTGTCCCATTGGGGAGATTTCAAATCACTTCCTGTCCCACAGTAAAAACAGAAATTAAAAGGAAATCTCTGCAAATTAAGGGACTCCCTTGGGGTCCCCCAGGTCACCAGAACTAGTGTCCCCATTGTAAGATTTCCCTTCTACTACTTTTCTGGGGACAACACAAAATTTGAGATTTTTTTTTTACTTTCAGTGGTAATAGTAGAAAGGGTGAACCTCCCCAAGAGGGGTACAGACAGCAATAAAAACCTAATAGGTGTTCCAATCCATATCTACTATATTCAAAACTTGAAAAAATGTTGTCTTAAGTTATAGTTTAAAGTTCATGTGTTCAAGATAAAGCAGGGATATGAAATTGCTAAGAATGGTGTTATTGGTGTCATTTAACACATGCATAAAGTGGAAATAAATGCCATCCCAGTTTTTGGATAGAGGCTAAAAAAAAAGATAACCCTACAAACCATATGCAATCTGTATCCCTGATGGGTACTAAACCCAGAACTCCAACACTACAATGCAAAAGCATTTGGGCTAGGTAGGTAAATTAGCGTATATAGCGTATAGGTATCCATATAGCTAATTAGATCCATTATTATAAGAGGGATAAACACATAAATACAAGTTGATGTTAGAATACTTCAAAACTAAAGTAAAGAGGCATTACGTACACAGATATACAGTATGTAGAAATAGATACACATAAATACACACATATTTTCTCTTTAAAAACATTGTGTTTTTCTCGTTGGATGTTCCTAGAAATGTTTTCGACACAGAAAATAAAAAGAGAGGTGCTAAAAGATGTTCACGTGCCTCATTATCTCCAGACATTTTACTTCTGCAAGTCTCCTAATTTCTAGAACAAGTCTTTTTTCTCATCTCCCCTTTCTTGTATCCCTACAGTGCTAAATCAACACTTGATGAGAGATTGCTTCCTATTAGTTACCAGCTCCGCTGCTCTTTGATATGTCAACTTATTGAAACATATGTCTTGCTAATTGCATTTGCATGCTTGTGTTTGCTTTTGCTCGCTTGAGATCGAGGGACTGAGATAAGACATATTTACAACCAGGATGCCAGTAAATTTTACAATTTAGGACAATCAGGCAGACTTTGTCTAACAAGAAAATGACTTTGTAAGGGACATGTTTTGTACTACAGGTGGATTGAAGGAGTGGAAAATATTTACTATAAGTAAGAATTCGCACTTATATTTATGTTTTTTTAATGGTCTGCGCTGCAAAAGGCAAACATATACAATATTTTATGTTTTTTATGTTTTGATCATAAAGGGTAATCCTTTGTCAGTGCAATCAGATTTTGTTCAAGCAGTGCATTGTAGACCTATATTTAAATGTTCTAGCTTCCAGCAAGCAATTGAACATCCTTAGGATTGTGAGGCTTGAAGAATGTCAGATCAATGCCTTTTTCAACTGACACGAGAAAAAAACAAGCGTGTGCCTTTCAGTAACAATATAATTCTGCCTTAGACAACCACCCTAAAACCCATACTTGGAGCCATGGTTTATATTGTAGTGTATTATAAAACATGCATTGATGTGCTTTATGCATTATATATAATAACAGTGTGTATAATATAGTATATTGGTTATAACTGTATATTAGAGTATGTATTCTGAAATCAGACCTTGCACCTTAAAAACCAAGATCTACTCTTCCTTGCTGGAATGCTGTGTAAATGTTTACACAAACCACCTGTAGAGGAAAAGTGTTAGACAGCTTCTGCCCATGGTGCCCAGGTGAGGGTGATGACATCTTTCTTCCAGAGAGATATTGGGAATAGTAGCTCAAAACTCCCAACACTCTGCTGCAGCATCTCCTTGCAAGGTTTTATAGTACTCAACATTCCCCAGGATCTCTTCGGCAGGGTGATGATGTCACCACCTGCACCATAGAAGCCAGAAGAAACGTAAGTATAATATCTAACACTACCTCCAGATATTTTTTAAACTTTTACTCTGTGTTATAGCAAGCGGTAGGACAGGTATGTTCATTAAAAAAGTGAACCTTGCATGAAGTGGAAGGTCCTCTTTAATCCTAAACCATGGTCCAACTTTTTGAAGTGGGAAAAGTGTGTGTATGTCCAACCAAATGCTTGTGAATGCTACAGCTGGTAAATACTGTTCTTCAAAACAAAATTAAAACGATACATGTGCACTGACATAAAGCGTTACCCAATTAAGTAAAATTGTTGCAAAGAGTTTGCCAACTGCAGTAAGAGCGGACAGATCATTGACTGCTTGTCAAAATCAACAAAGCTTTTCCAAATCTTTGGCCAGCTCACTTGTTTCCATTTATACATATTACCATTTGGATTTGTTCTAGCCCCCCGAGAATCTTACTGGCTAACATCTCTGCCACAGACACACTTATATACAAACACTAGGTCTAACTTGTGTGCAAGGTAATTAACCTATCATTGTGGTTTTGGGAGTTATCCTGAGTAGCCAAGAGAAACCCACAGAAGAACATACAAATTCCATGCAGTGTGCCTAATGGAAATTCAATTCAGGTTCTAGGCAGTATTAGGCAAGAGCACTAACCAATGAGCCTCTGTGCTCCAATCCTATGTTCCACTGAGCTACGTCCTGTTTTATTCAGTGTGAAGAATTCTCAGTGCCAGCTAGGGTTAATTGGTGAATAGGCTGTACAATAAATACATTTAGAGCTAGTACTAGAAGTTAGCGAGCAGACCTAAGAAAAATCTAAGGTGCAGAAGGCTAAGGGACAAAAGGTGATACATTATGGACAAATAAATGTATCATATCCAGTCTTTATATGTGGTCAGTATATTTTTGTAAGCTCTAATAAATCACGGGTCACTCTTTTATATCTCAAAATGCAATAACTTGACTCACGCCTCTCCTTTTTGGACTACGCTAGTATTTTGTCAGTTTGTTAGCTTCAATTACAAATAGTGATTATGATGCTGACTGTTTAATAAATGATCTTTGTTAAATATTTTAATGAACAACACAAATAAACCCAACTTGCTTAGCATCAAAAAAGGTTGAATGCTATTGCACCAGGCTGTTTCCTGCTTAGCATATACAGTTGCTTCTGAGCACAACATTGCTAACCCATTTACTTACTGTAATGAATTTTGGGCCTGCAAAGCTGGGTAGTGCACAGGATGTGATTTTGTGTCTTGCTAATTAATAGACTTAAAGTGGTTTTTTAAGGCTGAATGTTTTTACCTTACTGAATTACCTTCATAAAGCTTAAAAACCTTCATTGCTCAGTACCCCCCCCAATACTTATCTGAACCCAATCTCGATCCAGTGATGAGGACAGCGGCTCTCTTGGCTCTCCTCTTTGGCTCATTGGCTCCTGATTCTTTCAATCAGAGCCAGTGAGGAGGGAGCAGGGGTCAAAGGACACACAGAGCCGGCTCGGGAGCGAGGCTGATCGGAGCTGCTCTGTGCTTAACCATTTTATAGAGCAGGTAAGTATACCATGTTTGTTATTTTCATAAAAAGAATGTAAGGTTGTCAATCACTTTAGGCTTCTCTTGTCACTCATTTAGGCATTTCCTAACCCAAATAAAAGAGGACCCATGTACATTTAGAGACCATATTTCTTATCAACCATCTTTTTGTAGGCGGTGAGGGAAAACCTAAGCAGAGGCTGTCTGGATGCATGAGGAGGGTAAATAGGTTGACTAATTGTTTTTTGTGGACTATCCCTTTAAAATGTTTCTATAACAGAACACATTACATGTTATACCATGTTACAGAAATTTTTTAATATTGCTATCATTTTGTTCTTGGTTTTAAATGTGTGTGTTCATATTGTTTCACATATGCACATAACTATGAATTTCATTCAAGCTGAAGCCAAAAGTATAATACACTTTTTGCAATTCATCTGTTTTCCATTTTGGCATACTGTATAGTCAGGAAATCCATTCATTTATGACATATAATTTTTGCACTTTCAAGTGGGTAGAGGAATGTGACATAGCGCATAGAGTCCCATTTAATTTGATCATTTTCCAGATGGAATGTAATTGTAAAGTATAGGTTTAAAGCAGGTTTTAAACCATACATTTGGGTTTTTACTATTTCATGTTTTCTTTTTTATTCTTTCAGACACAAAAGGAATCCTTCTCTTTAAAGTGTAACTAAGGCAGAACTTTTTTTTTTTTTTTTTTTTTTTTTTTTAGTTTTGGATAGATTAGAGAGGGATTAGAACACCTGTCAGTTTTTATAGTTGTCTGTGACCCCGTTAGGGAGATTCACTCTCTCTAGTCCTCCAGTTTGCCGTTATCATCGAAAATTGAAGTAAAAGAAAATCCCAAATATTGGGTTGACACCAGACCACTATTAGAGGAGAAATCTTCCAATGGGGACAATAGTTTTGGTGACC